TATTTTAACTTAAATAGTCAAAACCCAGAAATTGATCTATTATGGCTTCGCTTTGTTAATGAAAAAAATTAAAGCATAAATGGAAAAGCAAAAATGAAAAAGAAATACATAAATACATGAAATGACATGGTAATATAGGAAGAAAAAAGTGATGGATGAGGGATGACAGGTAGGCGTAACAGAGAACAGGAGGTGAGGACAATAAAGACAAAACACAAGGTAAAAGACAGAAGACACTGAGACATCTGTAAAGTTTGCAAGTTGGAACAGATTTTTGCTTTTCTTAACAAATTAACAAACATGGATGCTCCAGAAGCCATATGGCTCAAAACTCTGATCTTGTAAGTTAAGCAGGTTTTGTGTAGTGTGACATGTGGTGGCAAACTTCCAAAAAGCACTCGTGCTACAGAAAGCACTTGACTCACTGAGTCAGCGTGGAGACAGCTCCCCAGAAAAGCAAGGGCACTGTGCCACCAGCACAGCATCCCTTCGGGTGAGACCCATACAGCAAGTGTCTGGTTGCTTTGGGCAATTGCACTTCCCAGGGCAGTTTTCTCCAAAACTGTCAGGTTAGCTCAGGAGGGGCGAAGACTTCCCGTTGTGACAGGTGAACCTTGCTGAAGGAGTTGGTGTCGCTGATGGCTTCATCTCTTCTTTGCCTCTTCTGCCTGCGGTCACCGTTCCTGTAATGAAACGAGAGCGCTCAACTCCATCTCAGCCACCCCAGCTCAGAGGCCAGTGTCTGGTCAAATTTATTCTCAGATGTGTGTTAAGACAAAATACCAGCCTCCCATCCAGGCACCAATACTCCTGTTTCTTCAGGCCCTTCTTGCTGCAAGCACTCGTGCCATGTTAGCAGAGTGTGAAGGAGAGCAGCCATGGTGCTGTCCCCACGGCGAGGTCTGCCTAACCATCGCAGTGTTACTTCTTGGGTAGCTGCATTCAAACCTATCTAAATTCCTGCTGTGTTTTCCTTTTCAGCAGGCTCGAGTATTGCTGTGACCCAGTAAAGGCAGCACACAGAGGTATATGGTCGGCCAGGGCAGAGAGACGTGTTTGTAGCCCTCTAGTCTGGCGTCACGCTTCATCGAGACCACAGAATTTCACCAGTGGTGCCTAACTCAGAGACCAGGGCCTCTGCCTGAGCTAGACCGTATCTAATGTGAATGTATAAATGTTCACTTAGAGACACTGAGTGAAAGGAAAAACAACAAAAAAAAACCCACTGCATTCCTGAGGAAGCAGTGCTTACAGTTAAGTTGCTGTTACTGTGAACTACATGCCTGACTTCAGCTATGCCAGGCTTCTGTTCTGTCTTTACAACATTAAAACAAAAGACATAGAAATGTAGATGCCTTTATTCCAGTTCCTTCCAGCAAAGTCCTGTCTGTGTCCTGGGCAGAGGAAAAGCACAGGCCCCCCTCCTGTGTGCTGCCTGCAGCTCGCGTCCACCCACTTCCTCAGGGCGCCCTCCGGCCTTCCCCTTCTGGCCTCCCCGCTTCGTGAAGGAGCCCAAAGCCTGCGGGACCATGGCCACAGGGGCCGAGAGGGGTCTGAGGAGTAGGGAGGAGGACCATGGAGAGAGAGAGTGATGTTTTGTGGGTGCCGCCCCGGGGTGGGTGCTGCTCCCTGCTCACACAGAGGTGATAAACAAACGCTCTCGCCAGGCTCTCCACAAGCAGCTGCTGTGTTTCCCTCGCTCTCCAGTTGCCCCACAGGAGGCCCTGGGGGCTCGTTTGGAGAAGTGTTGGGCACACGCGGCCCAGAGCGAGCTCAGGAAGGTGGTCATTTAACAAACAATCCTCTGTATCCACACCAAAGCAAGGTAAAATGTCATAGAACAGAAAGCTCAAAATAATGCACTGTGAGCACACTCCAGTGAAGTGCCTCGACTCCCTGCCTGTACCTTGGGAGTTAGGACAGAAAATAAATTAGCAAGTGTTTGCACAGCACTCAGACACTAGAGTGTTACTTGGAAAAGACTGTGACAACATTAGCATTTCCATCTTCACAGCGGAGTTTGAATAGCAGGCAGGAAATTGGGCATGAAACTGCAGCTGAACAGTGGAAAATCATAAATTCCCCAAGCACCATCCATTCTGCAGGCTGGCGGGGGACAATGGGAGTAATATGTTAGATAGGCAGGATGAAATGTATGTGAACAGGGAGTCAGAAATAATGTTACCTAGGCTATTTTCATTCCTGTAGTTTCTAACGTTACATACTTTAACTTGGTGAAGCTCCCATGATGTAATTTCTTCTACAAAGCAGGTTTTTACACTGAAATTCTTGTTTCTATATGCCAACTGCAACAATTCTTGTTTAAGAAGTCTAGAGGTGAGTGGGTACAACTCAGTGCAATGCAGCAGTTCCGCCTGTTGGTTTGGGGCTGGTTTGTTCCAGAAACACAAACAACACGTCAGGATCTCCTTGCACCTGGCTTGGAGCAGGGCCAGGTTAACTCATTCACAACTGCCCCAGGTTCAGAACTGCTCCGCTGCAGTTATTCTGCTTCCAATACTGACAGGGACAGTCTTGCACAATTTGTACATGCTTTCTGTGACTATTTGTAATGTCTCATTGTTGAATGGGTGGAGAGTTTCCTAGCAAACAAAAGCACAGTTTATTCCCAGGTTCAAAGGAGAAATGCAACTTTTAAAGTAACTACCATGTATTATTTTATTATGATTTTTGCAGCTGCTGTGACTGATACCAATCAGTAGGTGGCCTCTATTATTCTTTGAAAGTTGGCACAAGACTGAGGAGGCGGAGAGGGAATATATTGACAATGGAAAATTACCATGAGATTGCCCATGGGTGTTCTAATTTTGGTAACTTTTGCCATTTGTTCCGCTGCTCTCAAGCAATAGATAATCTTGGAATCCTTTTTGCAAATAGCTCGGGAACTAATCAAGAGCCATTTATTTGGGTGTTTCACATCCGATTCCTTCAAGCTCTCCAGTCTCAGAGGTGTTCTTGGAAAGGTAGAGGAGCCAGGCCCTTCTGCTGCCCACCTCTGAACTCTGGGATGCAGAAGTATCTCCCTAGTCCCAGATTCTCCCTTCACATTGCAGAGACTGAGGCACGTGCCATCCCCTTCCATGCTTTGGTTTCTCTGGGAAGGAAACTAAGAGATGTGGCTTTGGCTAGCAATGTAGTTGGAATTGCCTTTGGTCTACAGGTTCAAAGCATAAAGACCCTGAGACGTGTTAAACTGCACTGGTTGCACAGATTAGACATAGATATTTTCAAATTGTTATCTTTCTATTTTACTACATTTTGTTCCTACATTTAAATGAGCAATAATTTTGAGGAGGTTAATCTTCCTCTGTCCAAACACCTGTTCTTAAGCAAGAACATTTAAAGCATCTTCATACAGTTCTTCAAAATCTTTAATGAAGTTGTGTTTCGTGATGCATTTGGAGATGAAGATGAGATTAATTTTTGTTAATAGGGCTTTTCATTCCCCCAGGTGGATGTGGTACTGAAGCTATTACCTGTAACTTGGATTTGGACATAACGTGCATCAAACAAATAATAGACTATACAGAGATGAGTGTTTTGGTTAGGACATCATCATAAAGAATGAATGTCCTTTGTAGCCTCTAGGGTAAATGTGCATTTTCACTGTAGGTCTGACATCCACAGACAAGAGCTGCTACCTTGATAGTAGAATGTCTCAAAAGGTAACAACAAGGGATAAAGTAATGCAGAAAACAGCAAGTAACAAGGTAAGAATGGTGTCTCTGCAATGAGAGAGACCAAAACCAAATATTGCCCTTCCATGGTCAGAACCAGTAACCAGAAGAATTGTATCACCTGGACGGTAACCCATTGTATATCTGCAATCTCCGTGCTATAAGGGCACTACCATGGTATGGATTCTCCAGGGTAGGTACAGGGCTTCACTGCACAGGGCTCACTGCAGGATGAAGAGTTAAAGCCCTTTTTGAGGTATAAATCTTGTAAACTTTTCACTTCACTCATGAGGACTAGAAAATGCACATTGCAACAAAAATCTCCGTTTAGCATTAATTAAGGTTTTAATTGCACAGGTAGGTCAAATGACGAAATAGCCTGTTAGTGCCAGAAGGAAGGGAATCCCTTCCCTCCCAATCCCATTTCCTCCTCCTCCTCCTTCCCCGTTTCCAGCCGCACCCTCCCTTCCTTTGCTCTGGCTGGCGCTGGTGCTCATGAAATCCTGTTGTTGCTAGTTTAGCACACCAGCCCAGCAGAAATATATTCATATTTTTGGGTGGATTAGCGTGGTGCTGGAGCAGAGTTTAAGCTGTCCCACAGAAGAGCCGGACAATTGCTGGGACTGGTTGAGCCACCAGCTACAGGGCAGGAGAAAGGGACTGGAGATGGGAGCAGATCTCCCTTTGGGGCTGGTGAGCTGTTAAACACCATTGTTGAATGCTCAAGTTTATTTAGTTTATTTATTAAGGGAAGCTTTAGGGCACTCAGCATATTTCCATGTCTACATGATGAACAAGCTGTGCCATCAGGCAGTCTGGTGAAGATTTTGAAGACAGAGAATTGATGGTAGCCAAGAAGCATGGCAAATGTGTTAAGAATTATGGTAATGAAGTATAAAATTCCTCTGTTTTGGGTGTTCTTTATGCGATAGGGGAGTTTCTCCAGACAGTGGGCAGCCCTGTGTGGGGCGGCGAGCCGCAGGCCAGGTGATGTGGTCACGGCAGGGCCCCGCGACGTCAGGACTTACGAATGCATGACGAGGGAAGGGAAAGCGAGACGAGATTAAAAATAAATAAACCAGTCACCGAAACAACGCGGAAAGAAAAGAATTTATTTTCAATAAGAACAAAGGAAAGCGAGCCTTTCCTCAGGCAACCAGGCGGTGAGAGGGCACTAAGATACGCGGCACGCCGCGGGCAAAGCCCCGCATCTAACCAGGGACAAGGGCGAGGCACCGAGGGCCGGGACCCCCTTCCCCGTGGGGCAGAGCCGCCCCCAGCCCCGGACTCCCCCTCTCCGGCCACCTCCGGGGCCCGTCCCCTTCTCTCGGCCGCCGCCGCCAGAGCATGCGCGGGGCCGGGCCAGCCCCGCCGCCGCCCCCGCTCCCCTCATAGCGGCGCCGCCGGGAGCTGCTGGAGCCGCTGGTGCCGCCGCTCGTCCCTGGGCTGGAGGTGAGGGGCCGGGAGGGGGGGGGGCGCTGGGGCGCTTCGTTCCCCTTTGTGCTTGGGCACGGGGCGGTGTGTGGGGAGGGTGAGGGGTGAGGAAGAGGAGGAGGGGGCCTGGTGGTGTCGGAGGAAGGAAGAAGGCAGGAAGGGAGGGAAGGAGGAAGGGAAGGGTGCCCGGCGCGGAGGAGCCGCCGAGCAGCCATTTCGTGGGGCTGGGGGGCGGCCGGCGCTTTCCCTACCGGGGCTGCCTCCCGCACCGGGCTCCGGTGGAAGGAAAAGAGCGATTAAATAAAGTCTGTCTGCGCTGGCGTCCTTTTCATGTGTTGGGGTTTTGGGGGGAGGGGCTTGGTCGGGGTCCCTACTGCTTTCTCTGTACGGCTGGGTAACGCTGCGGGGCTGCTGTGGGTGTGTTGTGCCTTTTGGGGCGAGGGAGCCTTCCTTCGGGTCTGAAATGGAGGCGGCGGATTCCTGAGCAAAGTGCGCAGCGAGAGCAAAAGCTCAGAGGCCGATTAGATAGTATCAGAAGAAAAGCGCTTCTCTTTTTTTTTTTTCCTCTTTTATTGGAGGACGCCTCTTGCAAAACAGTTCCTGTCTTCCTGCTGTCTCAGCTCGACCTTCGGGAGGTTTTGTCCTTTAAAGATAAAACTTAGTCTCATGGTTTCTAGCTGCTCGGGAAGCCGAAACCAATACGTTGCTATAGGTGCTGGTTTTGTGGCCTGCTGTAATCTCTCCACAGGACAAAACACTGTTATTCCTTCCCTTTGCCCCCATCCAAATACCGTCTGCTGCCCCTTTCAGAGACGGCAGTCGCCACGGACAGGTCAGACTTCAGCTGGCTCTCAGCCTGCATTCAGCTCTGGTGTTTCCGACCCAAGAAATGTCGGGAAGCCCGTCATCTTCCAGTTGAGCCACTGTGTGTAGTAAGAGCCAGCTCCTACATACAAAACTTCCTGCTAATAGCCCGAGAGTGTCACGAGTGCAGCCTGTCCGCGGTCTCTGCCCAGTGGTCAGGCACTTCCCTTGGTAAATAGGATCCTCTTGGTGAGACAGCCTGCCCACGGGGCTGGCGGCTGGGTTTCTGAGCTTGAGGGTACTTGGAAACTGGCGTTTTCTCCTTTTGCTTTCATTTTTGCTTTCCTGAAAGCTTCAGGTTACTATAGGTGTTCTCCACAGGATGTAGGAGCCTGCAAACAGTCAGGGCGAGTAGCTCCGTGTCGGTGTAGGCTTGGGAGTCGCCCACCTCCCTTCCTCTCCGCTCTGTGGTTACCACTCCCCTGCTCCTGCAGAAAGCCGTGGCTGTCCAAACTTCATGTTCAAATCTGTTTGTGTTGTGAGTCATGGACGGATTCTTCCTGAGATTACTGGCAGTCCCCGACAGTGACGATTGCTGCTGAACGGTCATGTTTTAAACTAAGCAGGGTATTTTGGGGCATTTCACATTACCTAATGAGTGGTTAGATGTGTACCTCAGTGTTACAACTGCCTGCAAGGAAATCAAAAACGCTCCTTGCTGGTGTAAAAGCAACAAAGCTGGTATGCAGGGAGCCAGGCTCGCTGGATGCAGTGACGGGTGGCCGTTATTCTGGCTATTTATTGAAAAACCAGGAATAGCAACCAGTGAGATTGTAAGGAGGGAGCTGGCAGGGCTGCTCCTTGGTGGCCCTGACGGAGGGTTGGAGTTGGAAGCCTCCAGCTGGGGAAGGGAGGTGGCCTGGGCGGTGGCAGAGCGGTGGGGTAAGCTGCTGGAGTGCTTCCTAAAGTGTTTGGGGAGCTAATATATGTTGAGTTTTGCTAGTACTCTTCGACAGAAAGCTCCTTGTTCCTCGTATTAAAGTAGAAGAAGTTTCAGATGGCACTCTGGCAAGTGTGACCAGGGATTGCAGGGCAGGATGAGGGTGGTCTGTGGAGGAAAACCAAAGCTGGTCCAGGTGGAAGTTTGCTGGTGTTTAGCTTAGTGATATGGTTTAGTGGAGGACTTGTTAGTTTTAGGTCAGAGGTTGGATTCGGTGATCTTGAGGTCTCTTCTAACCTTGAAATTCTGTGTGGAAATGGTCACTGGGACCAGAGACACCGCAGACCCTGGGTGCTGTCTGTGCTACCATGCAGATGTTGGAGCTCATGGTGGGCTTCTGCTCCCTTTGTTGCCCTATGATGGGACCACTCTGTCCCATGGCATGCTGACTGCTGACTTTGAACGTGTGCTGCAGCTGAAATCAGCATGACTGATGTAGCTTGGAAGGAGATACCCAGCCTGATGTGTGTGCCTCTTCACCAGTATTGGCAGCAGAGTGCAGTGCCCAGGGACTGCATACCCGAGCAAGCGTTTTGCTGGGCTTGGGTTTGCATTAGCCATTACCCCTTTGAGTTGAGCAAAAGCATTTAATTGCTTTCAGGTCAATGCTGCCTTAAAATGGAATTTTAAACTCGCTTTAAATGTGTTTAATTTTTAAGGCTTCCCGGTCTTGGCTATACTTGGTTTAGCTGCATCAACTTCACAAAATTATCAGTTGCACGTAATTACAAACGCGTGGCCTGTTATGTCAGGTCAATTCAGATCCCTGCCATGTTTTGGGCTCTTCTAAAGTTTTAATTGCAGTTTGACATGATACTTGAGCTCCTGGGCACTCTGCTGAACAAGTAGAAAAGCTGTTAGTGACCTTGATGTAATGCAAGGAGACATCTATTGTGTTTCTGCAGCGTCATGTTAGGCAGCGGATTTTTTTAATCAATTCGGTATCTGCATGTGAAGAAGCAGTAGCTCAGGGATTTATATAGTGGTTGCTTTTAGTCTGGACTTATAGTTAATTCGTTACGCAAATGAGGACCTCTGAAGTGTTTGGATGAGAAAATTAATCCCCAAACCAGAAGCTATTAGTAGTGCTGCCCCGTTAGCTGTGTTCTCCGTGCCATATGTAACTTGCAAGACTTTGTCATGTTTTGATGTCTTCTCCTTCTGTTCCTCTTCTAGCCTTCCTCCTCTGAGTTAACACATTCACGTAATTTGGGGTGAAATGTCTCATTACTCTTTTGCAAAGCTCTGTTGACCTTGGTGAGAACTTGAGTGAAGGATCTCTTGAAAATGGCATTTCCTAAAGCCTCTGGTGCCCAGCTGTAGCAGAGCTGAGCATCGGTACAGTGCATTACAGGATCATGTGAAGTGTTTTTTTTTTTTTATTATTACTTCCTGTTAATGTTGTCACAGGGCTTTCACAACATCACATGAGAGGCAGGCTGAAGTCCCTGTGGATTTTGAAACTCACCACTGACCGAATCTGGCTGGCTCATAATGTGGTACAAGTGGACATGGGAAGCCAGCTCTGATGAGTGACTCCTTTTGTAGGAACATCAGAATTATCAGAGTGTTTAGATACTTGGGGTAATAGTGTGAAAGCTTACAGAGTTGTATATAAATTACTGTTGAGTTTGTGTGGAGGAATATGATTAGGTTTTGCTTTCAAACCTCCTCACTGTTGCATCACTGCTTCCTACGTTCTTTCTTTATGATACTTACTGTGAAACAATTTTCTCTGTGTGGGATTTCTCATAGCTGAGACCTAAACTTTGGCACCACTAAGTATAGTAAATAAAGCCTATTACACAAAGACTATTATTGATAATAGATTAAATAGATAGCCTTAATGGAATTTGTCTCTAGTGCTGCGTATCTGTCATGCTGAGACTTGCAGGTCACAGCTGAACTTATTTAATGCTTTGTCTGTTTTCTCTTTTCTTTTTTAAGTTGTAACATTAGGTAAATACCTGATGTCTAACCCTGTTTTGTTTGCTTTTCTCCTTTCCATGTCTTCCTGTAATTCAGTGAGACTGCATCAAAATGTCTCTCTATCCTTCCCTGGAAGATCTGAAGGTGGACAAAGTTATTCAGGTATGGGAGGCTTTTGTAAAAATGGTGACAATAATAGATGTGTTGATATTTAGTAAGGGGAGGGGGAGATTTTTATGGAAGTTGTGATGTGATGTTTTACCATTGCACTTCTAAGGATCATTGGACCCTTGAAGTTGTAGGTAAGGATTGTAGTTGGGATTTCTTTGTTCTGTCTGCCATGTCCCGTGTGCTTCTTATATGAAGATGCAGTTGGGTAACATGAAATTTACCCCCCTGAACAAACAAACAAACCCACCCTGCCTGGAGCTAAAGATCAACTGCTAGAGTTTGTGATCTAAATGCTAAATGTGGTCTATTTACTACTTTTAACTTTTGTGACCACTGAATGAAGCATTGAGGAAATGGAAGTAGGGTATCTCTGTGTTGAAAGACAAAATCTGTGTCTACAGCAAATCAGTGAGATTAAAATGGCTGCTGGTTTAAATGTAAACTTCTTGCACTAAATATTCTAACCCATTCTTTTTGCCCAGCATTTAAGTTGGAGGCATTTCTTCTAAATATGTTTGATAAATAATGAGTCACTCTTGCTCTGAAACTTCTCTCTAAACAAAACTTCCTGAAGAGGACTACGGAATCTTCTATTTTTAAACATTATTTCCGTGAGGGGGGAAAAAAATAAAAAATTAAGTAATTCAATTGTCTTGCTGAATTAAATGATTTATGTGTCCTGCACAACATAGTTTTTGTTGTGCTGAAACTTTTCCACACCTTTAATCTGTGTCTTAGAGATAGATACTGGGATAGCTGTTCCTGTCATACTTAGCAGGCCTCTGTATGCTAATTTATTTTGGCCTCATGTATTCATGATCAGTGAAAAACAGGTAGCTGAGATACCATGAGGAGGAAGGGAATTAGCTTACTTTAATGCTATCTCTTCTATTTGCAAGTCAGCAACAGACAGTGAAAACACTCAGTTTAATTTCTAAACTCAGTTGTGCATTTGGGACCTCCTGTAGAAAACTCCTAGGAGGTCTGTTTCTTTCAGAAGGTGTTGAATTAGTAGCACTGAATTGCGTGGAATGTGAATTGCAACCTGCAGGTAACTGTGGCAGAACTCATGGCTAATACCTGTAAGCAATCAAAATGTAGAACTGCCTTTCAGCTGAAAAAAAAAACAACACAACAACCTACAAAACACTCTGCAAAGGCCATACTTCCATAATTTTAAGTTTTAAAGTTTGTCAGCCAAGTTGAATGTGTCTTTCAGAGAGATCTTAGGCTCTTTAACTTGCTTAATAACAAAACTGGAACTGAGGTTGATGGTCAAGCCTTTGTGTAATTTGCGTAGCTGTCTCTGAGGAAGGTATGAGTTTCTGTTGACATAATAATGCAACATATTGTATTAAATCATTTGTTTCAAAGAAAACAGCTGACTTCAGAGCTTCAAGATAATGGCAACAATGCGTAAAATAATACATAGTCTCCTGGCTGCATAGCAAAGATTTTTGTAATTCCTCTTTTACAAGATAACACATATGAGTTTCCTTGCTCTTAGGCTCAGACCGCCTTTTCTTCAAATCCAGCTAATCCAGCAATCTTGTCTGAAGCTTCTGCTCCTATTCCTCAAGATGGAGGTAAGGTCATATACTGTGTGGTATCCTAATGTTTCATAACTGCTTTCCAAAACTCTATAGTTAAAGTGCAGTCAAATACCTATAAAGATGAAACTGTTTACTGAGGGTGAGGCCGTACCTTTTTGGAAATGCTTCCCCAAGTGCACACACAAAAAAAAGTGGCAAATAATGTTTTTGTAGCTTTAAAAAAAAAAAAGGCTTCTTAAGTGAGTCTAACATAACAAGATCTGTTGCTGGTACTGTTTGATCTCTCCTTAATGCTTACCTCAAATGCTTACGTACTTATCACGTGTTTGTAAACTTCAGAGAGCAGCCTGAGTCTGAGCGTCTTTCCCCTACCCCACCCCCAGCATATGAGCTTGCTGGGGAACAAACAAGCACAAATCTCTGTCAGTAGAGAAGAGGAACTTCACTACTGTCATGCAAGCAACATAAAGCTTCCTGCAGATTTTGGGCTCAAAGGTCTGTTGGGAAATCCACCAGACCTAAAGTTGTATTGACTGATATCTCCTCATGCTCACATACACCCACAAATACACACGGGTATGTTTGATTTCTGGGCTATTAAGTTATGTTTGGTCTAAAGGACCTAAAGTCTCTAATGAGCTTGACCAGCTGCAGTGCTGGAATAGCCATCAGGAATGTTGGTGGATCTGGTATTAAAGCATGGGAGGTGTACCTTTGTCTCCAGTTCTGCTCTTGGAGTTGGTGCATCTAAGATCACTTTAAGGGTGGATTTTATACAGCTCACCTTAAATCCAGGAAGGATCTAAGCTCTTACCTGACCTAACCTCATTACAGTAAGTTTGCTTCAGCAGTTCTTCTCCCTAGCAGCATTTTTTTCGACTGTCTGGAGTCTGAATTCTCCTGCAACTTCTGTGTCTACTGTACTGCTGACCAAATGACATTTTGACATCAGCTTGTCTGCAATTTGCTCAGGAGTTGTGTGTGGCTGAAGACTGCTTATCACTTAAATCACCTTTCCTTTGGGATATGTTGTTAACAATCTCTAGGACTTGCCAAGCCCATGGGATCTCTGTCTTGGTAAAGGCAGGAGAAGATGCATCTGACAGCTCTTGATGTTTTCTGCTGTTTTGGAGACTCTCGTTTGAATGAGAATGTAATAGCAAGATTCATTCTATGTTGTCTTTTATGAAGAATGAAGGAGAAAAATCAATTCACTGCAGAAGTCTTGGGAAGCTTTAATTGCCTATAATCACAGGGGCTTGAAAGGCAAGCAGAAGACAGCCACAGAGCTACTCATTAGAGGTTTACTAATCTGTATCAGTGAAACCAGTTTGGAAATAAGATTGGGCAGTTCCCACATGAAACAGAATGCTCACGTGACAGCTGAAAGTATTAAGGGACAAAAAAAGTTTTTCTTGATGGGATTAGAATTCCTTGTAATGGCCTTTGAGTTCCTTCCTGGAAAAGTAGCTTTCAGTTTCTGGTCAAATGTGGATTCTTATAATAGCTGTTCTTAAACATATACCCATAAATGAACACTAAAAACATCATCTGTGTGGATCAGGGAGCCTATGTGCTTTCAAGACTGCCCCTTGTACCGCTTGGCTCTCTGAGCAGCCTTTTCTGTCTCCGCTGATTTGGTCAAAAGGGCGTGTATTCTTGTAACTGCTTCTTGTTAAATAGCATCACTTCATTATCTGTGGAATGTCAAGAGCAGCATCAAGCTTCTTTCCAGAGTGGTTTGACTCAAGGTCTGACAAATCTGACTTTTCTCCCATTCCCAGCTACCTGCTCCTCTCAGAGTAGAGGAATGTCCTGCTGGATATTTTAAGGTCCGCAGTTCTTTTTTTTTCTGTTGGTATGAGGACTGTATCTAAACAAGACTTCGATTTGAAGCTATGGGAAAATGACAGCTACTTTATCATGAAGAATATTATAGTCAATTTCCCTCTGTGTGTTGCTTCTTTGTATGGACTTCTGTTTGTTTGTTTGTTTGTTTTAGTTCTATCAGATCCTACACATTCAGTATCTGTTGGTTCCATAAATTCCTCATGCACTGTATGCTTACTTCTGTCAATGCCATTCCCTCACACACTTTAATTTATCCTGTGTTTTCTAGCTATCCTGCTATGGGGATGGGAGGGAGAGTAAGTAGTTCCACACCAATTGCCTGTAAACTTTGGAGGAAAGAAGGGCTTGTCATGATGGACTGGAGTACAGCATTGGTTTTGGAACTCATCACCGCATATCTAATGTTGCTTGTGCCATAAAAGAAAGGAATGAATGGAATTACTTAACGTAGATAACTTTTAGTTTTCTCAAAAGCACTGCTCCTGTAGTTGCTTTTCTCAGCTGGGCTAAAATAACAGTCCTGATTCAGGTGGATCTCACACTGTAATTTTCAAGTTACGTACATTACAATACTGCAAGGTTTAAGTTGTTGTCTGTGTGATAGCAGCATACTGGTCTGTTAAACAAACACATTAATGGTTTTGTTTTTCTTGTTCATGTAGGCTTATACCCCAGACTATATCCAGAACTTTCTCAGTACATGGGCCTGAGCCTCAATGAAGAAGAGGTGCAGAGAAACCTACCAGTGGCAGCAGCTGGTCAGCCACAAGGGGTAGGTATCAGTCAAACATGCCTTAGAAACTGAAAGTATAAATACTAAATGTGTATCTACCATTCTAGATAGTAGACTTAGTTGTAGTATGTACCCCACCTGACTGGTAAATGATTTTTTTCAGTAGCAGAGCCTATTTTTCTACAGCTTTAAACTGAGCAGTATACTTCCAGTTTGGGAGGGAGGAGGGGAAGAACTGGTGTTGTGACTTGCATTTTATTTTTGCTTCTTTTCTTTTTTTTTTTTTTAATCACTTGATATAAACTGACATACAAGTATTGTAAAAAGTTGAAATTAAGTTGTCTGGCTATTTTGTCTTAATCAGCAACTGGTAACACGACCTTCTACTAATTACATGGTAGCTCCAGTGACTGGCAATGATATTGGAATTCGCAGAGCAGAAATTAAGCAAGGCATCCGTGAAGCAATTTTGTGTAAAGATCAAGATGGAAAAATAGGACTTCGCCTGAAGTCTGTTGACAATGTAAGTATAGAAGCTTGCTTTTGCCTATACAGATCCTACTGCTGAATTAAGTTAGTAGTTGAATTAGTGTATGGTCAGAGAACTGTCTATTGTATAATACTTGCTTGTCTGTTACTAGAATTTGAAAACCCTCTGTTAGATCCGAAACTAGGGCATAGTCTAAGATCTAATTTTATAGCAGTAATTTATTTTCATATAACACCTGGAGAATACCTGTAGTATTCCTTCAGAGTATAAAATGTCCTTGCAGAGCTGCTGTGACTCTAGTTAGCAGTTTAAGTGCTTCCCGGAGTTTCCACAAAGATAGAGATAGAAGTCTTGAAGTTCAACAGTAGGCAGAGAAATGAATGTGATATAAAAGGAGAGGTATTTTTACAAACTCTTGCAATATGCTACTCATGAGAAAATTTAGGATAGTGAGGGTGTCAGCTATATACAAAGAGTAATTTAAAATCTCTCTTCTAGTTTCCTTCAACATGACTGTAGCTGCCAAAAGGTCCAGGAGGTTGTCTGCTTCAGAGCTTCCCTGTTTGGTTATTTTCTGATTCTCAGTATGAGAATACTTCTTTGTCTCTTTTTTGGGTGTGTTTTGGCTGGGTCATTTATTTACTCAAGGTTTCACATAGAACTACAGAATCATTTTAATCCTAACCCAGGAAATACTGGACTTTTCCTAGAAAGTAGTGTGAAATCTCTGTTGCCTGCCCTCACCCCATGGGAGGGTTTATTTATCTTCTTTGTTGACATCCTTTACTTGGTTTTGGGGTTACTTTGACTGGAAACAGCGTGTTTTGTTTTTTTTTTTTTAACACTTTTTATTTTTTAATTGAGGTGCTAACAGTCAGTAAAAAAAAGTTGAAAACTAATGGGTTGAGAAAGAAGGAAAAATCTGCTATAGAGTTCTTAATATTGATGATCTATTTCTCAAGCTATATGTAGACTGTCTTACACAGGAATTTGAAGTCAAATTCCCAGGCAGACATGCAAATTTAGTACCAGTCTATATGACCTAGTTTTTCAGAATTCTTGTTAAAACAGTATTTACTCCTTCAAGGAAGGTGTTACTGTGAAGCATGTGTCTCTTAATTTCTAGAAATCTAAACAGAACAGACTTGCTTATTTCCTAACTTTATTCTAACATTAGTATGTGTCAGTCTCTTAAAGACATCTATAAACTTACTGAAATTTCAAAAATGTGTCTTAAAGACTTGCTGAATTCCTCTCCTTTTGTCCATTTGGTTGGTATTACACAAGAATAGAAAACTAAAGGGCTGCGTATTCAGTGATTGGCCTTCACATTTAAGAACATCCTGTTTCTACCATGCCCCCTTCTTTTGCAGGGTATATTTGTCCAGTTAGTCCAAGCAAACTCTCCAGCATCTCTAGCTGGTCTGCGGTTTGGGGACCAAGTTCTGCAGATCAATGGTGAAAACTGTGCTGGATGGAGTTCTGATAAAGCACACAAAGTTCTGAAACAGGCTTCTGGAGAGAGGATTTCAATGATCATTCGGGACAGGTAAGGCCGACTGCAGATTGTTGTTATCCATCTTGGAATAACTGTGAAGTTCAGGTCTCCCTCACCTGAGAAGCATGGCAGGCATACAAAATATGTTTGTCTACTTTACTATTAAAGATCATTAGAAATGTTCCTTTTTATGGGGAACAGTCAAAATAATATTTCAAAATAGTCACTAACTCGTGCCATTGCACACCTCTTGCTTGGGCATGATGAGGCCTAACACCTTAAAGAAAACTTAATGAGTGATAGCATAACATAAATTCTGAGTTCAAGAGTTCTGTGCTTTCTCTGATACAATTTGACTTTTGCTTATACGTATTGAAGCTTCTCTTTACTGGTATTTCAGTAAGCAGTATAAAAATAGTCACTATTAATGAGCTTAAATTTTTCACTTCCATTTTTATTTAGCATGGTAGTTTTCTTGTGGACTTTACTGCTCACATATGAGTTCATGCCAGGCTCACTAAAAGTATGCTTGATAAACCAGTATGTTTTTAATCAATATTAGGTATTAATGTATGTAGTAATAATGGGACAGATGCAACATGGTCTCTAGGCTGAGATGACAGAGGATGCGTGACGTGACTAAGTACATGTCTTCAGAAACTCTCAATGTTCTTTTGTGTTTGAGTCAAGTTTGACCCCAATGGGGGGCATATGACTTCTACTGTATTAAATCATAAGTTTCCCTACTGTCTACCACTTCTGTGCCCAACTTCTGCTCTGTTGCTGGATTTCTTAACTTCTTAAGACAACTTAAAGGTTCATTGTTTATAACACAGTGGAAAGTTTGTTGGAGAAGCCTTTAATCTCCAGAATCATGCAGTCACCTACAGTTGTCAAAATGGCCTGCAGTATTTTAGCTACCTGCTAACATTTGTTAGGCAAAACTTCAGTTTGAATGGCCACTTGTGTGGTTGACTGTTGGGTGGTTTAGTAATCCAGATGGTGGAATACGTGTAGAAAAGAGAAAACACAAACTTTAAAAACTAATTTCCATATGGAAAGTGACTTCAGCCTAGAAAGAAGAGATTACAAGAGCAAGTAGTCCAAAAATGAAGTTAAACCCCTACCACTTTTCATTGTACTCTGTAGAGACTCATACATCAACTACACTAACTTTTGCAAATCAAAGGTACTGAAATAGTGTGTGGTTCTCTCTGTGGTTTGGTAGACTGAAAGCATGTTTTTGCATTAAGGTTCTTCTGTTTCTTACAGGCCTTTTGAACGAATTATTACCATGCACAAAGACAGCACAGGGCATGTTGGCTTCATATTCAAGAATGGAAAAATAACCTCAATAGTGAAAGACAGTTCTGCAGCGAGAAATGGACTTCTTACAGAGCACAACATCTGTGAAATCAATGGCCAGAACGTTATTGGACTGAAGGTGTGTTTTGAGGCTTCTGTGGTTCCTTTCTATAGGCAGGGCAACTCATTCTCTTCTTCTCTACATCTACATTTTATAGTTGGTTCTCAGTTTTTATCTTTAAGGCATGCTTTGCCAACAAAGGAATAAGTTTCCTCCTGCCAGCCAGTGTAAAATCATAGTAGGACGTCTGTATCCCTACTCCAATGAGTTCCTGTAAGGGAACTGTAAGGGATGACTCCATAGGAAGTTCATTAGCACTGCAGCTTAGTGATTTGCCCTGAAGGTTAAATACTGTAAGCAAGGAGTTATGTGGCTGTTAAGCTGCGTGAATGTGTCTCGATTGGGTTCCTGAACTGCTGCTTTATTAGTCATCTCAAGTGATGTTGCTGATATGATTTCTTGTTCAATAACAGGACCCCCAGATAGCAGACATCTTGGCAACAGCTGGAAATGTAGTGACAATTACCATCATGCCTTCCAGTATTTATGAGTATATAATAAAGAGGTAGGTAACAACCAAATAAAGCAGCCATGGTGTTAATTATATCAAAGCTGACAATTATTTTGCAGGTTAAATAAAATGTAATTGTCTTGCCATGAGAACAGATCTGATAGAAGGACTAGTTAAGGTGGTGAAGTCTGAAAGTGTACTTAATCCAGTGGTTTTAATCAGACTAATGTGATGTGGTTCCGTTTTTAAACTGTTGATATGTTAGTGATGCTCCTTTGACTTTTATTCTTTTGAAAAACCCTCTTCTAAACATGACTCAACTAAATTTGAATCTCTGAGCGCTTTGAAGTACATGGATAATACCAGTCTTTGTTACCTTGCAACTAAACTGCTTCTAGTGCAGCTAGTTCTGGTGATGTAAACACGATTCTTGGCAGGATGTAGTTGGGTTTCTTTAATCCTTTGGCAGCACTAGCTTTCTACAGCTAAATCTCTCCTGGAAAAAAGAAGTTTTAAAGCTGCTAGGAATTAATTGTAACACTTTGAATGCTTAGAGCATAATTAAGTGTTCCTCCCCACCCCCATTCTATGTTCTTCCTACAAAGCTGTTTCCAGGACAGCCATCTTCCCCCCAGCCCTTTTCCTCCCTCCTACTTGTGATACTGCTCTGAACAAATGACTGCATCTTGAAAGATGTTTGTATCACAACCCAGCTGCTAGCAAAATGTTGGGTATTGGGGCATCTCTTATTTATGCGGTGTAGTGCAGCTTTTCTATAGCAATGTATTTGTTAAAACAGTGCAGTGAGACTAATTTTTAATTCAAATTAAAGGGCTAGCAAGGACAAAGATACAGTGAACAGAAGCTTTTAGCCGGCTTCCATGTCTGTCTTAAAAACCTGAATGACTTTTCCTTTTCTATAGGATGGCAACTAGCATTATGAAAAGCCTGATGGATCACTCTATTCCTGAAGTCTAAACATGCATCATGTACATGTGTCTGTACATACATCTGAGAATTCCACTAAACTCGGGCTATTATACTCAGTGATTTCTTTCTTCTGCACATGAGCCTTTCTGGAGGCCAAGAGAAGATATGCTGCATCAAGCATTTGCATCTATAATGGCTGGGAATGTTACAGTTCAACATATCTTGTTTATTCACAAACTGTAAAACTTGTAGCCTTATATGCTTGACGAATGTGAAATTCCAATTGTGTTATGACTTTTCGTAGATCTCTTCCTTAGTTCACTACTCCTATAAGCCATTGCAACTAAAGGAACCAGATATCACTTGCAAAATTATGTGTTGTTACCTAGGGCAATGCTGTGCTTTGTATGTTTAAGAGAAACAAGTATTTTTACTGCTTTCTGTCTGCAAGAGTAGATATGAAATAGCCTATTTAGAAGTATGGCTAGTACTAGTTTATTTCTTGTTCTAGTAAATTCTGTTTACACAAGTATGCCAGCTAAGCTGAATATAGCTGAAGGCATCATTCAGTAAGTATATTAAATAAGGTAGTGTACAGATAATCAAATCTTTTTATTACTTGTTATACGAATTGTAACTGATGCTTATCTCTCGCCTTAACCAAGTTCTTAAAGATTCAGAAGTAACCAAATAAATGACTGAAACTTTAGATGGTGTGTGCATGTTCTTGAGGTGAGCTGAGACAGGTTTCTTTCTTAAGGTCATTTTCAGCTGGCAAGAAAGACAAGGTAGGAAATAAAGTTTTAAATAGCTTCATAACAAAGGTCATAGGCATGTTCAACTTTAGGTTTTTAAGTGATCTGAAGCTAAATGCCAGGTGGTGAGCAGTTTCTTTTTTCATGTTCTATTCTAGCTTCTAGCTGTGCAGTTCTCCTCAGATGTTGCAGTAGCCCAACGCAAGCAATTTTAGTTTAGTATAGGTATGGGAAATCAATTCAGGTTTCCTTTCCTAAATGAACCAGGATCCAAAGTTGGTTGGAGAAGATGGTACCGGATTGACTTGCTAGTCCATCTAACTGGAGAAATATTTCAAAAGGTGAGTGCAAGTGCAATAAATAAAAGAGTTCAAAGCTCAACCCTGCAATAAGGATAGTCCCAGGCTGCCAATCCCTTAATAGCCTGTGTAGCTAGCTGTAGCTTTTCCAGCTTGTAGGAAATGCACTGTGGGGGTAGAGTTGGGAACTCACAGACATACTTTTCTTCCTGGGAACACTGCCAAATTTAGCACTTCAAGTTCAGCCATTTCTGGCTTCTCAAATGAAGTTCTGTTACTGCAAGAGAAAACCAGTATCTTACTTCAGATTGCAGTGGTGATCAAATTCTTCCTGAGAGCCAATTTAATTGGATTGTCTCTAAAACTAGTGGGGTAAGCACTTACTGGCAGGAACTGATGACTTCATGCAGCCTTGGTATGCTCAGAAGCGCATGGGTGTTGAGCCTGTGACCTGTAGCAATAACCTTAAGGAACTCTAGCACAGTAGCTTACTTAACTATGAAACCCCGGTAACCCACAGAATATGTGGTCTCTGTATCTAATTAACTTCTCCTTAGGAGCATACTATTTAGTGGGGGACAATTCTATACCCCTTCAAGCTTTAAAACCCCTTATTTAAGCAAGGCTTTTCAAATATGTAAACAGCAGCTTGACCAGCTTTTCACTAATTAAATCCCTTCAATTCCCTACTGGGTGTAAGTGGATAAGTTGTTGTGCTTATTTTATATATGTAATTTAAATAGTCTTAAAGAAACAAACAAACAAAAAAAAAAACAACAAATATGCTGCACAGAAGGCCCTCCAATGTGAAAGGAATGTGCCTGTCTGAAACTTGAATAAGACAACATGAGAAAGAGGTGTGTGAAAAGGGAAGGGTAGCTCTTTGTGGTTTTTCAAGCACATGATAGTTCAAACTGAGAAACTGCAGGTTAGTACCTTTTATGCAGGTCCTGCTAAAAGGGAAAATGAATTGCAGTGCAAATCTTAAACTCACAGTAGTGTTGTATGCAGGAAGCCTAATGCTTGGGGCCAGTAGGGTAGAGGTAAATGAACAATGACCGGCACAATTAAGACTTTTAACATGCTGCAAAACGCAATTGAGACTTCTCCAGGCACTTGTAGAATTTGATTTCCATCTTTTTTGGCTATGCACAACTCTATGTGGGAAATAAGTAAAGTGAAAAGCAAAGAGTAAACACCAACCATGCTCCTGCAAGATCATGTCTGGTAACATAAAGTGCATGTGATGTGGCTTAATTTTTTCGTTACATATGCCTTTACTACACAATAATTAATTGAATTTTATGTAATCAATCTAAGTGAGCAATGTAGATGATATAAGTTTGCTTTAACTCTATACCATTACAACACTGAGAAGGTTTAAGTCCCATCATAAAAAAAGGTTAAATAATGCCACTGACCATAAAACAATTATTTTACAATGCTAACTAATGAAACAGCTACCTTGTGACATAGCTGTTATAATGCCTTGGTTTTGAAACATGTCCTGAACCTCAAAGGAGTGACAGTGTAATTTAGAGGAATGTTTGTCCTGGACACATTATGGGTAACGCTAAGAAGGTTTGCTAGAGAATACTGTCAGAGAAATAATAATCATGGGTCACAGTGATGAAATACCACAGCTGTAGGTGACTATTTCTTAAATATGGCACTTAAAGTCTATTACTTGAAGTCTTTACCCTCAGAATAGTTCCTTGCAGAGAAACATATTCTTAAGTCCTACAGGGAAAATAAGCTTGATACAACACCACTTTGACCTTGGGTTAAGACTAAAAGGATCACATAAACCCAGAAGTTGTAGCTCTATTTGAAAGTTGTATCGAAATTCCATCCCAAAGCCTATTTGAGTTGAAAGAAGCATACAGAAAAGGTGAAGATGAATAAGAAAAGGATAGTAACAGAAGTGATGAAAGGCAGCAGTAATAAAACCCAATTATTAGGGAAGATTTCTATTAACATACATGTATGTATCACTTCTCTGTTAGGGGACCAGTTTTATACTTGGCTTCCTTTCAGGCTATAACAATAGGGTATGGTTTTAGGTGTATCCTTCCACCATCTTCTTTTTAATAATAGGAAAAAGAAGATAGGTGTTCTTATTGTTCTTTATGCCTTTGCAGATAATGACAGTTGGAAACTAGGTGGCACTAGACTGACCACTGCTCAGCCCAACAGCTGCCTTAGCAGTGAGTGTTGAAAGTAGTATTTACCTTTGTATGCATCTTCACTAGGAAGAGGTTTCCTACACAAGAGGTACATACGTTATGTAATGAGACACAACACAGAGGTGCAAGCATCCTTAAAAGACTTGAGAATGCAAAAGATTCTTCTTTTAAACCAGTTCAGACAACATGCCATGATGCAGTCTATGTAAATCAAACAATGACTGCCAGTTAAGAGATCTTTAATTACAGAAAAATAGGTCTTTAATGTCATCTCATATCACTTTAGACAAGCATTTTCAATGATAGTCCATGAAAAATAAATGCATACACTGTGGAAGTTAAGAGCTCTCAGTGAAGTCACCATAATCCAGAAAGCTGTAGTTGAACAGAGCTTCCTATCTGGTTGAACTTCAGCAGCCATCATTGCACACAGTTAAGTTCCTTTAAAAGGTTTGGTTTAAAATAAAGAGTTCGTTTAAGTGTCTGGAGGGAAAGGCACTTAGTATTGCAGTTTCCAGAAAATGATTTGTTTGTCTTCCCCTCCTGTAATAACACTGTTGCATTGTTCATTCATCCACATGGACATTACACCACCTGGGGGAAAAAAATAATTTAGAATACAAGTAGTACTCATGAGAACGGAACATAACTTTTAAATAGTTTAGGGTCATCAGTATATATTTAGTACCTCATTATAGTATATAGACACTAAGTATATAAACTTATATAGTGTGAATGTAATGCAAAGAAGATGAGACTGCAAGGTGGAGTCACAGGAGTAATCTCATGCTATACTGCCTCAGCTGATTTTTGGAATTGGAAGTGGAACGTAAGTTCCAGTGTATGTTGCAGACAACACAGTAGCAAAAGGATGTATTGGGATAAGGGGAGAAGCTTCTCCAGAAAGATTTTTTTCCTACATCATCTAGACTTGTCATATTAAAAGTATATAGCGCCTTATAGAATATGCTTAGAGACCACTTTTAAAGATTCTCTAGCTGCAGCTTGATGTTAATACAGCTCAAGTTCCAGAGTACAAGTTTACAGAAGGGAAGTTTGAAATAACTTCATGAAAGCAGCCTTAAAAGCAAACTGAATAAAACTGAGATAGTTATTCCTTCTTCGTACATTTTGGTTTCTCATGTCTTGAAGACTATTCACGTACATGTAAGATGTTTGTAAATCTCTAACCAAGATACATTTATTTAGCAGACTTTACTTAATTGTTGTTAGATTTACAGTCTGGACAGACTTTGATATAAAGTAGTCTACACTACACTTTATTAAGACTGTGAAGTACAAGAAAATACGGTATTTTTGATGCTATATGGATTAGAAGAGCCCAACTCATCTGCCTCTGTTCAGTCTTGTAAAAAGCAGTACTGCTCCACTACTGTCACATTTCCTAGGAGGCTCATGTGTACCTCCTTGGGGTGTTCTGGTGTTCCAGGTAACACTTAACATCAAGAACAACTCACAAGCAGAGCAGATGATGCTAGAACTTGTCAATACCAACACAGACAGAAAATTGGAAACTTCCATTCAATTTGAGAACAAGAATAGTTCAGGCATACCTGTATGTCCCCTGATTCTTTCAGTAACTTTTCCACCAAGAAGGTCCCAGATCAATAATTCACCAGACTGACTTCCTGATAAGATGGTATTTCCATCCCACTTGAAACACCTGCAAAAGTAACTCTGTAATCAGTTCACTTTAAGCTAAACAATTCCAAACAAAGCCAAAGATAACTGAAAACTGAAGTATGAAACTGAAGGAAATTTACCACTTCAGAGTCTTTCTGGAAAGGTTATTCCACATCCATTTTAAAGGGTCATGACCCAAACTTTCTTTTCTGACTGCCCTAAACCCCCCTGCCAGAGGGATAAAGTATATTCCCACAGCACAAGAGGACCCAGCCAGTTGTACATGTGTATGGTACGTACACCCAAGTGTTCTCATCTCATGAACTTTCACTTCCATCACTTCATGTTTCTGAAAGAATCACTTGAAGTGCAAAGACGACTTTCAGGGTAATGAAAGAAGTTGGTGCTGAAAAAGCAGGAGTTATTTTCTTAGATACCTGTTTGTTTTCATTCCGGTTTGGAAAGCTTGACCATAATGCACACAACTTACTAGGATGTCAGCCTTTGCACTTAGGTGCAAATTAAGTAATTAATTTAATTCAGTAAAACAATCTTCAGTATTACTACCCTTTCCATTCTATTGCCAACCATTAAGCATCTCCACAGTTAACTAAGCTGGCCATGCAGCTTCATAGTCTGTGTTCTCAGGATTACCTCTGTGGCTCATCAGCAGTTACAGAAGATATGAGCATTCCAGTCTGCACATCAATCACTTTAAAACAGCAGTCTTCTCCTGCACTGAGTAGATGTCTGCTGTCTGTGCAAAAGAGCAAACAAAACAAAACAAAAAACACAAAAAAGAGCATGTTTAAACATGCAGCTCTA